GGGGAAGTCGCTGGGTCAGCTTCCAGGCTGCTCTCCCCACAGCCCTCTCCCTCTCTGCTCTCCCAGCGCAGCACCCTCACGGTGGGGTTTTACAAATAAAAAAAATAAATCTGGCTCCCGTCTGGACTCTGTCCAGGCCCCGTAACCAGCCATGGGCGAGGGAGACACCAGCCGGGCCACGCACTTAACGGACACTCAGGGGCAGTCAGCACTGAACTGGTTGGCGAGACGTCAAAGCTGGAGGGTGCATCTGACAGGCTGTGCTTGGAGTTTACTAATTTCATGAAAAGTATCTGTAATCTGCTGCCCAAGAGAGGTAGGATCTTGAAGAAAACCTTGCCGCCCACTGCACGGTCACTCTGCTCCCACCTGAAGTTATAGGAAGGGGTTGATGCTGTCTTTTCGGAGCCAGTCCCACAGCTGGTTCCACACTGTTCCAGCGAAGTGATGAATTTCAGTTCCTAGTGGAGTGAGTACTCGAGTACGCCACTAGGGGGCGACAGTGCTAACCTTTCCACTGTTGAATTTATTAACTAAGTTCATGTATTTTTAATGATAGGATATTAAAACCCATTGTTGTGAAAGTATCTATTTGCAATATATTTTTCTGTTTATTCCTTTCTATATAGTTAAATGCTATTTTGAAATTTTTAAAAATAATTTTTTATTGTTGAAAGTATTACATATGTCCCCCCCCATTAGCCCCCTCCAGCTATTAAATGCTATTTTGTCGTTCCGATGAGTGATGAATCCACGTCATTCTGAATCAGAGCACTCCAGAGAACGTCACATACATGTAGCTAGGAGTGAAAGGTGTCTATGCTCAGTGTAGTCAAAGGTATAATGAGTTTGAAGAAGCTAACCTCAAAAAGCTAACTTTTATTAATTTTTTAAATTAATTAGCAACAAATATATCCACTGCCTCATGACCATACAAAGATACATGCACTAAGGTTTGCTGCAATATTTTGAGATGGAAAACAAGACTGGAAATCATCTAAGTATCTACCAGCAGGTGGACTGAATGACAATACGACTGTGCAGGGGGTGACATGCAGTGGTTGGCTGGCCTATGTGGGCCGCTGGGCCACAGCGTGGAGGGTGGGTTGTGGGAGAAATGGCAGTGAAGGGCTCCTGCAATAGTCTAGGCTGGGGTGGGCCTGGGCCAGAACGCTGGCACTGGCAAGAGAGGGGTGGGCACATGTGAGTGATTTGAGATTAAGATGACAATGCAGCCTGGCTGGTGTGGCTCAGTGGTTGAGCATCGACCTATGAGCAAGCAGGTCACAGTTCAATTCCCGGTCAGGGCACATGCCCGGGTTGTGGACTCGATCCCCTGCGTGGGGTGTGCAGGAGGCAGCCGATCCATGATTCTTATTGATGTTCCTATCCCTCTCACTTTCTGAAATCAATTGAAATATATATATTTAAAATGACAACTACAGTAAGGAGGTCAGAAGGAAGAAACGTCCAGTTTAAGCTAAGTCTGGGGTGTGGTGTACAGCTTGGTGACTATGGTTAACTACTGAACCGTGTATTTGAACGTTGCTAAGAGAGTAGATCTTAAAAGTTCTCATCACAAGAACAGAGTTAACACCCATCCGCACGCAGTTACTAAACTGATGGTGGGCGTCGTTCCGCAGATCTACATCCGCAGATCGGTATGTCGGACGATGAGTGAGCACCATTATGTCAGCTGTATCTCAGACTGGAAACCAGACGGCAGCTGCAGGATTCCGACTCGTTGCTGTAGCAGCTGTGGTGGCTGGACTCTTGGGAGACCTGGCATCACGGTTGGGGGGGGTCCTAGGATCTGAGCCTCGGAGCAGGAAGCAGCCAGGCCGGCGGGTGGCTCATGTCTGCCCCATTTCCCGTAACCCAGAGTGGGGACCGAGGCCCACGCTCGTGTGCAAGGGCAGATGCCAGATTTGCTTCCAGGAAAACAGCCCCAGGGCCGGGCTCCTTCCCTGCACCCACAGTTCTGCCCTATAACCCACCCCCTCCTCA